ACGGTCTCGTCGTCCGAGGTGCCGAAGCGCCGGGTCCTCTGCTGGAGCCCGGGCTGCGTCGGCTGCTCCACCGCAAGCGCGCCGACGACGAGGCTCTCTGGTCGTGACTGCGGCGTCCCCGGCTCCGTCTCGCGCCCCATCTGCTCCTGCGGTGGAGCGCGCAGTCTGGAGGAGGAGCCCCTCGACCAGCTGATCGGTCGCTGTCCGGGTGAAGAGCTCCGTGCTATGCCCCGCTGCCCGGCGGGAGCTGGGTCCGCCTGCGGTGCTTGAGTTCTAGGCCCCCCAGATGGGGTCGGAGTAGATGGGGTCGGAGGATCGCGCCGCATCGCCGATGCATCGTCGACGCGGCTCGATGTGGGGCCCGATTCGCTTCATGTCGACGTCGCCGATGCATCACCGACGTCGACGATGCATCGCCTGTGCATCACCGATGCATCGCCGATGCATCGCCGATGTATCGGCGATGCGGCGCGATCCTCCGACCTCATCTACTCGGACCCCATCTAGGAGGCCTCTAAAAGCGGTCGGTCTTGCGACCGGGGTGCTGGCGCAGGCTTCAGCGCGCCCCTTTGCCCTGACGCAGTGTTTGTTGCCATCGCCAGCGGGGCGCAGGATTGCGGCCAATCGGAGATCGACACATTACGGCACAGCATGCCAATATGAAATTTGGGGCGCGGCGGGTGTCTACAACCTTCAGCATATAAAGGTGCTTCGGTAGCAAATCATGGGGGCCTTGTATTCTCACGTAGTTCCGTCTTTAGAGTGCGCTAGCGTCGACTAGCGCCTGGCAGTCGACGAGATAGCGCCGACGTAGCGTCGAGTAGCGCCGTCCGAGCGTCGACCTAGCGTCGACCGGCGTCGACTCGCGAGAGCCCGCAAGGTGGTGTGGGAGGCCCCCGTGACTTGCCACCGATGCTGTCCATCGGCCGCATCGCCTGGCGCAAGCGCGAGGGGCCGGGCACTTGGTGCATTACCGATCTCAACCATTTTTGGCTGGCGACGCGTTTCGGACTCTGGGTCCTCTGCTGGGCCACAAGGCTGCGGTGTCCCACGCGCGTGCCGTGCAGCGCGCGAGCAGGGCAGCAAGAGGCCAAGAGTGCGGGGGTGAGAAGAAAAACTCGCGCGGCAGGGCGCTCCAGGCATCGGGACGACCGAGATGGGCACGGAAAGAATGGGTACAATGCCCAACAGCAGTTCCTGTTCATTTTGAGCAGGACTCGCTGTCCGTGCCGCCGCTGCCTGTGTCTATTTGATGCAGAAGGCCGCCTGCCCAACAGCGGCCGCTGTTGGTTTGGGACCACATTTGCTGTTGGGCATTGTACCCTTTTTTTCCGTACCCCTTTGGGGCGCCCAAAACGCACGCGGGGCTGCGCGATGTCAGCGCGAGGCCGTGCGCCTCCACGGGGGGGGAGGCGCGTCGGCCAGGCGCCGGCGTCGGCGTCGGCGGGGGGGTTAGGCCGGGCGGCCGCCGGGGCGGGGCCGCCCGCTGCCCCGAGCCTCGGCCTGCTCGGCCACGCGCAGCTGCGGGGGTGCGGCCGGACCGGGCCGGACGAAAGGGTGGGATGGGGAAAGGTCAAGCAGTGGCGAAGCGTCTTGGCTCGTCTTATAGCCCTACCAAGCCATGTTCGAAGAACCTTCTGTGGTTTCCAGGAAATGTTCTTAGAACATGTCTGGCTGGGGTCGTCTTGTCTTATCACATCGGGTTTAGGTTCTAAGAACATTGCTTTTGTTCTAAGAACATTGTTGGGTTGTAAGACCATTTCGTTGTAGGGCTATAGGGATACCGGGACGGTCGGTCCCTGCTCAACAAGGGGGGGATAGGGAAAGGGGGGTTACGAAATCTGTTGCATGCAGCTGGTTTCGGCCCCGCCAGGGGGCCCATTCCTCGATATACATGGCCGCCTCCGTCGCCGGGAGGCGCTGGGAAGATCAGCTACGTGAGCTGATTCTCAGACCCCCCCTTTGCTATCCCCCCCTTTCGCCCGGCCCGACCAGACCCAGGTGTATGATGTTCCCACTTATTTTAGCTTTGATCACCGGAAACAATATCAGAGCCCCGAATCATCAGGGGTAACTCGGGTCAGGGATAACTCGGGTTCGTTTTTCGGGAGTCCGAACCCGAGTTATCCCGGACCCAAGTTACCCCGGATATTTCGGGCGTCCAGAGCCCCGAATCATCAGGGGTAACTCGGGTCAGGGTTAACTCGGGTTCGCTTTTTCGGGAGTCCGAACCCGAGTTACCCCGGACCCGAGTTACCCCAGATAACTCGGGCGCCCAACAATACTGAGCACCCAAGGAAGCACCCAGAAACTCATGGGTTTTCACGTGTCGGGCCCTGGGAGACCAGTCCGACACTGTTTTGACACTCCTTCGACACTTTTCCAGTTGCTCGAAATTATTTCTGGGATGTGGTCCTTAAGTACGGTATGGGCAACATAAATCGAGGTATGAGATCGAGGTCGGTTCGGGGAGGGCACCCTGATGCTCCTCGTGCTCGTT